TTTTTCAAAATAAATAAAGGAAATTATGAAACAAGTTTGTAAAATCAGATTATATATTTTCATCAGCAATTAGTAATTATTTGAGCTTTATCAATAGTGTATATAATCAACACTCATAAACAACCACGACATTGCTAATATTAATTATTAGCTATTTAACATAGCTAATTATATGTTATTCATATAATTGTACTATACTGTTATATATAGTATAGTTAGTAGCCTAGTTTATAATCTGTGTGTGGATGCTAGTTCTCAATGTTCAAGAGAACTATAGAGAAGTGAAAAAATATTACCAATGTAAATTTTTTTAAAATTTATCGATTTTGTCTACAGGTGTTTTTGTCAGGTTTAAGACATCGTGTGTTGTTTTTTACACTATTCATAATCTATTTTTAGTAAATGTAGTTCTTTTTTATATTTGTTTCATATTAGGATACCTTTCGTTTTAGGTTCCTCTGTCCCTAAGTAAACACTTAAACTTTGACAAATTAAAAACTACAAAGTATCACTTCTCATATTATTAACTAGATATAAATTAAAATTATAGTTCTCACCATGGTAATCATTGTTTGTAGAGTTTATAAAAATCCTCCCTTAAGTAGGCTTGACTTTGTAAAAGTATTTAGCTTTCAAGTTGGGTAAAATATCTCACGAAATTGAGTATCATTTACATTTCCAAGCAGGGGCTGCTTCGTTCAATCTTGTTAAAAGATTGCGAACGAAACGAACTCCCTGGAAAAGTTTGTCGTGTTTGGTGTTACCGGGATTTTAAATTAAATTTTGTAAATAGTTTCAGTAACCCTTGCATCACCTTACGAAACCTTTGCTAATATTGGGTGAAATGATACACAAATCATATTGTCTTTATTACTGAAAAAAAACAGACTTTAAAAGTGCTCAGTACTACAATTGTAAAATCACAGGTTTGAAAAGAGATATTTCTCTGTGATGAAAATAAAAATCTTATAAAAGTATCTTGCACTGGTAAAATATGTTTTCATAAGGTTCAACATTAATGGCATTCATAGTTGGTGCTACTGTGGAAAGGGCACTGGGTTTCCTTAGAAATTATTATCTGAAAGCTTAACAAAGCGAGAACAAAATCTAAATCTCAGGTATTTCCTAACACATATGTAAAATGTATATAGAAGAACGTAATATTAGCTCATTAAAAAAATTGCTTTTATTGGTGTATAAAAGCTTATTTTAGTTTTTGATGGATGGATGACATAATTTTTTATTATTTTTATTAGTAAAAAGTTATGTGTTCTGGTTTCTGGTAACACAGTAATTAAAAAGAATGGTAGAATAATATAGTTAACTTAAAAAATATAGTTATTTAAGGTGGTCTTACACATGCAGATTCCTATTTAATAAAATGCATTCTTTATTTAAATTATTGAAAAGTATACATTCTTTTTGAAAACCCTACCTCTTATATCAAATATTTAGTCTTCTTAGCCTAGACAACTGGATTGTATACCAAATTAAATTTACCACGATGAAAAAATAGCTTCACTTTAATATTAATTCAAGGAGCGTAATGTTTTGCTGGGTCATATAGTACAAACATTGTGTAATACCCTAAATCCTACACAACAGCTAACAGTGAGGAAGAGCCAGTTAAGATAATGTATCGGAGCTGCGATCACCGAATGTCGCCATTTGACTTCATATACAAGCAACAGTGCCCGTGAAAAGTTATGTTACATATTTGCCATTCAAGCTACAAGCTAGAGCTTTTTAAATCGGAAAACGTCCCATGATTGACTTAGCCATGCAAACCTGTGATGAGATGTATTTTATCCATAATTAACTGCATTACACCTATTAAATATGTTGATAAAACCATCAATTTTTCTTTTGAAAATCAACACTTTAAACCTATGATTGGATGTTGAGGCGTGACGAGATTTTTTCATAAAGCTTCATACATATATTTCCAAATGACAAATTTTATCATTAGATAGAAAAATATCAATCGTACGATTTAGATAACGCAATAATTGTAAATATTCTTATCCCTGAAGAAATCAGAAATCGCTGGCTCCCTGATAAGTTTCCAGGGTTTAGTATAGACTACAATATGTGGTAAAGTGTAATCAAGTCCCTTTCACTCAGTAAGAGTCCCGTGGTGGCGCGACATACAGAGCTGTGTATTATGGTAATCTGTGTGTCTACATACACTCGTGACCTAGCATACTGATAAGGCTCTAGTGATAAAATCACTAAACTTTTGGCAAAGTTAAGAGTTAAGATGTTAGGTATTTTATGAATTCTTAAAAAAACTGTTGTTTGCTTGTTAATAAACCGTTTCCTGATGAATTGTGGTTATTTTATGTCTACATTTTTACAAGTGTTGAGTGTGTTTCTAGCCTAGTGGTTAGCGTCTCGGAATCTAGTGCGGGAGGGAAGGGTTCGATTTCCGGCACGCCCACAAAACATAATGGGTTAATACCTCTTAAAAAAAAAAAAAAAAAAAACTTTAAAAACACGCTCTTTCATCTTCTCTAAAAAAATGCCATGGTGTGGATAGGTACAAAGACAGTTTTCTGTCATGTTGTTGTTAGGCACGTGCAACAGTGTAAAATGTGAACAAATCATCTTAGTGGGCTTTAGTGAAATGGTAATATATCACTACCGCAACCTCGTCCAAGAGAACTATAGAGAAGTGGAAAAGTATTACCAATGTAAAAAAATGTGTTTAGTATTGTCTTCAAATATTTTATTGAGACGTAATTGAATATTATAAGATGTGATTAATTGTTTTGTAATTGTTTGACAGTAAGGTTTTTAAAGTAAATTTCTTTCAATATAGCTTTTGACTTCCAAAGTACAATATAATATAAAAAACATAAATATTGTAGTCTGAATAGTATTTTTTCGTTTACAATAAAATGCACGGAAAGTAAATAAAATGTTCGTCTAATTACACTTATATAATGTTATATTTACATACATTTAACTTATACTATTAACTAACAAGGCAGTTAATATGCATAAAAATTTTTAAGTGGAGATCGATCTCAATTGGAGACTCCAGTCATCATCAGACCCAAATTTTATATATCAACATCAATCCCAAAAATCAACATCAGTCTTGTGAGTTAACAGTATAAGCGTAAATATATGTTTTAAGTGCTATTCGACTATATTTTATTCACCTTTCCAAAATGTAATAAAACGTAAAATATTGATTAAGAATTTATTGAATAAAATGCAATCACTTACTTTAAAGAAGTATTTATTGGATGCCTATGTTAGCACCAACAATGTAGGAAGATTATGTACAAGCATATTTACAGGCTTGAACACTAAGCTACATCCATAAAACAGTTAGATACACATTAAGGTTTCACTCTAAAAATAATAATGGCTTAACCTTAAAGTAACCTACAATATTGAACACTTCTTCAAAATTTAAAATTCACAGTAACCTTTCACAAAATAATGTTTAGTGAATAATAGTTTGTTATTGAGCAGTTACGGATGAGTACATATTAACTTACAAAATAATTATGAAAAAAATTCAAAGCCAAAATAATTTAAAATTAATTATTTACAAGCTTTATTTAGTACTATACAGGATTCAATGGGTTTTAATGAATCACGTTTTGTTTCATAATTACAATATATACATTATTAGACTATCTACAAATTATCATTGAAAATTTTTAAATGGATTTTACATTATTAAGTTTTTCTTACGATACTCATCGTTATGCTATTATTAATTTAAAAAATAAATAACATATCAACTAGAAAAGTATTTGATTTAAAATACTTGTTTTAAAACTTTATAAAAGAAAGATTTTGCAAATTACTATAGACTTATCAATAAATAAACCATTGAAGTATTTCCAAACAAAAACGATGGCTCTCAATTAAATTTTAAAGGGAATTTATTCTATATTGGGCATATAATAGGTCATTGAACAAATTAAAATATTAGAACTATTCTGTTTTCCAGTCTATAATCTAATATGAGTATTTGGTAATTTTATAATGATATGATGGAAATAAAAACATTTGACTAGAAACCAAGTCAATTGATCTCATTAGTTTTCTGTGATTATAAAAATATTAAGTGGAATAGATGGGTGGTAATATACTTTGTTGGTTTACGTAAATCTACATCATGATATGTTTTTCATGTACTGTAGAAACTAAAATTCTTGAGGTGCTATTTGACAGGACCTTTTTTATATAAAAATGTTAAAGGTTATATATTTCAACTTATATAGTAAAACTAATGATAATTTACATTTAATTCTAGTTCATATTAGGCCTTTGATATTTACAAACGTACAGTTTTAGATGCAATTATTAAAAAATATAACTCTTTTATGTGCCAGATAATAAAATAAAAAGGAACACTCATGAGATAATAGTTTTTAGTTGGAAACATGTATGATATAGTAACTTGAACTTTTATACGATAATAATTTTAAATGTTTCCAATATGCAGTACTTAAAATATATAGTTACAATGTTTTTACTCTACTTGTATATTTAGTTTATTTTGAATAAAGTAAAGAGGAACTATTTTATATTTTATAAACTCAGCGAATAATTAAATACCAAGTTATCTTGACTTTGATTCAAATTCAGTAACATTTTTCAAACATGATATATTACAACAATTTAAAACAGATTAGGTTGTTGCATCAACGGATTACTAAGATTATACCATAATCTATACATCTACAACTATAACCACCCTGTTACAAACATAGTATCACATTTTAGTTGTTATATACAAGTTTTTTTCAGTTCAAAACAACGCTCTAAGCATTATAGTTTTACAAATGTACACCTAACATGAATTTATTTCGAACAAAGTTGCTAAGCATCACAGAACAATATGACGGTGGTATAGAAAGGGTCCACCATTAATTAGAAGATAAAAGTTCAAAGGTTACAATATTGGCAAAAAGACTAATTAAATTATCCTATTTTTATAACTAAAACAAATTGTTTTAACATGGTTCTTTTTTTATAAAATATCATTTGTATTAAATCTTTATTGACAAATATTTTTTTCTATCTTAAAAATGAAATTATTAGAAATTATTAATACCTATCTTTATATATTTTTTATTTCTTCTAATAATCTGTTTTTTACAGGGAATTTTCCTTTGCCTAACAGGATTGTTAACAAAAATTATGATTAAAGTTTTCCATTTCTAAATTGGAAGAAACCTTTTTGCCAACACTGTGAAAACCCATCGAGTCCTCTTGGGAAGGAAACACTTATTTCAGTCGTGGAAATGTCACCATCAAAAAGGTTACCTCGATGACAAAATGGCGGCGGAAGCTAACAGCAGAGAGGACGCTAACAGACAGCTTCCGGAAGAATCGCTGTTTTCTCGACTTCCGTTGGAAGCGGAAGTGTGGCTCTTTGTGGTTTCCGCCAATCCTGCAACACATGTTTGATAAAAACTAACTACTTTGCGAACTCAGAAACCACATTATGGACGTGAAGTCGGTCACATTTGCCAAGTTATTTTTAAAGGTACAAACAATGTAATACATTAACGTGTCTATTGAATAATATTGTGTTTACTATTTCTTTATCATAAACCATGATTATATTATTTAAAATACACACACCACAGCAAACCCGCCGACTAGTCGAATTTTCATTTATCTAAATTGATGTTCAATTAAATCTATTATAATAAGATTAAGTTTAACGAGTACCTAAGTTTGCTGCTACAAGGAAACTAATAAAGTGTGGTTTTCAGTAAAATATTAATAGCCAAGTATAAACTAAATAAATTTGCAAAGTTTGATCAAAATATATCTATAGACAAGCAAACTACATCATTTTACAATATTCTCCATAAGAATAACATAGGGGTTTTAAATTTGCAATTTTTTAAATTTTCTCCGTTACCAATAATCGTACAAAAACACTTAGATATACTAAATTATTTGTTATTTTAAGCTCTTAAAATGGTTTAAAGAAAAATAATGGTAAAACTTTTGTGTTTTTAGGGTCAAAAATTAGATAAACCAATTTGTAACCCTTAAAACACCCCGTAAAACCCCGTTCCCATGGCCCGATCAAGCTGCTTCGCGAACATAATCAAGTTTATCCCACCTTAAACCGTTAAACCAAATTTCATTAAAATCGGAACAAAATTAATCGGAAAGTCAATCGGTCCCAGGCATAGGTCTTACCGTGCCACCTACAGTAATAACTACTTCCCTATAAGGAAATTCTCTAAAAGCTACTTTAGTATAGACAAATAATAGTGTTAACTGATTTGGTTTAAAGCCAGGTAAATAACATGTAATACGAATAATGTAGTTACATAGTAAAGGATTTAAGTTTTTTCTATAATGATTTTTTAGCGTTTAACATTAAAATTTAAATTATTCAGATGGTTTAACGGTTTTCATTTAAACGATTTGCCAATATTTATTAGCTATAACATTTAACTGCATCTAGGTTTTAAAACCGTTCACCTAATTTATTGCATAATATGCACTCATACGCATTTATTTGGCCGATAAATAAATAATAAATAATAATAAACTGGTAGATACATTTTTCAATACAAGTACTATATTTAGTAGACCTACTTTTTTAAACTAGTACCCTAATGTTTGTTTTCGTATAATAAACAGTCTTTGTAACAATTATTGCATATCCAGTTATATTTAATTATAATTCAGCAAAATATTATCAAAAGTGTAAATTAAGATAATTTTTTTAAACGTTTAAAAAACCTAGTAAGCTGAATCAAGGTATATCTTATGTAATAAAACAAAAACAAAAGTATCTATTTAAACTAGTCAAACTGTACTCTAATAATCGTTTTCGAAAAGCTATGGTGTATCATAAACATAACAGTAACTTATTTATTCTGAAACTATTTGTCAGAGAAAGCTAGCTAAGTAGAGTATAGCTATGAAATCTATTACTAAGAATAAAAACTAAGCATTCACCTTTCGAAGAAACAAATAGTTAAATTATGATGAGAACGGATAACTTGGATTGAGAACGAGAAGATTTGCGTTGAGTTAATTTGCCAGTTTGGAGCAGAGAGCCTAAAAGCTTGTGGACGAATGAATATATTGGTATAGAGCAAGAAAAGAAGGCCTTAGTTAAGTAATATATATATATTGATGGACCTGGACACATCGTGTATTTCGCAATGATGATGTATCATAAATAAAACTGTTCATAGTTTGGAACCAGCACAATGTGAAATTAAGGCTTTAGTGTCACTGTTTTTCACTGGAATATTTACAGTACATGCATTGGTTAAATACGTTTTTACAACTACTGTTTTTTTTTTTATAAAGCCATTCATTGTTAATTTTATTTAAAAACTTAAACAAACCATAGGTTAACTGAAAGGGTTTTCAAATCAGTACGTATAATTGTTATTAAAGTTAATAAATATATTACATTATTATCGAGTAATACAGTAGAAGATATGTTTAGTTTTTTTAATTGTGATGATTAAGATTTTCATGTTAAAAGTAAGGACTAAAATAACTAATTGTAATAGATTATACAGTACTACTTCTAAAAGTAAACGTGACCATTTCGATACGAATATTTTCAATATCGAAACAATGTGCTTTATAACTTAGGTAGTACAGGACAGGTTCCCTAATGATTGTTCTATTCCTAAAACTATACATTGTGTATTACGTTAAAATAAAACACACGTTATTCTTCAATTCGAATTCTTTTATGTCTCAGTACAAATTAAAACTGTCATGGATGTATGAACAGATGAGTTTATATTTATATGAAACTATTATATATTTTTACAAAGGAGGTGATAAAACACGGTTTGACCGTTTCAGTGAAATCTAGTGATTGACATTCATTGACAAAACAAAAACTCACCTCCAAAAAAGGCTGAATGCTTACCTCGTTGTTGTAACTTTGAATAATTTTTTATTTCTGAAAGAAACAAACATTATTAAGAACTAAAAAATAACCAAATGTTTCGTTTTGGGTTTGAGGGTGAAAATAACCCTTTTAATTTTCTTTATGAAGAAATAAAATACTTCTATAAATAAAGGTTAAGGGATAATAAACAAAAGAAAAACACCATAGGCAAACACAAGTACAAAAATGTCTTATACGATATCATAGCGTACCTCATTAATGTTTTATCTAGTGCAATTCGGGGAAAGCATGATTTTTTTCGAATAATAGGTCTTATCTTTTGAGTAGGTAGTTAAGCTAGATTACTGTTTTAGCTTATTTTATACTGAGGATTCTTTTGAACTGGAAAAGGGATTTGGATCAACGTTAAACACAGCAATCAATGTATTGGAAACGAAAAAAATGTCTCGTGCGTAACACATTGATACAAAATATAAAAAATATACAGAAAGAGAAAACAGATAAATTTCGCTATACTTGAAAGTAAAACCATTACTAACATTAACGCCGATCTTAACTATACTTTCGACACCTTTTTTAAGTAATAAATCATAACACGTAATAAGTCAGATATTAACAGGAAAGAAAAGTAATATACCTAACTTTAAATTAAAGCTAACCAGAATTACGCTTTCACAGAGGGAAAATAAATATACATCACTTTAATAAATTTACAGAAATATTAGAGAAAATTTACCTAATATAAGGAAGGTGACAAACTTCAAGGGACTTTTCTAATCGTGGCACTTGGATGTGGTAAACATCATTCTGGTCCTAACTGTGTTCTGATTTACATTCTGATTCCTTAAGGAACTCACCGTAAAGTCTAAGAGTTCCCTCAGCACGACCTAGTGAGTTTGTGCTGACGCAGTTATACGTGCCAATGTCTGCTTGGCTGAACTGTCTGATGATTAGCCACATGAAAACCTTGTAGTTGGATCTGTTCTCGTGTATAGAGTACTTCACTCTGAAACAATCAGCAATATTCAGTTTGCAGTAACTATATTTTACAGTATCACCAACTGAAAAACTCAGTGAAAGCTTTGGCTCGTCTGTCTACTCTGATTCTATAATGTACAACCTTGATAAGGTATCGCAACAGTTATTTTTGTAGTAAATCAATCAGGAAAGTACAAATTTTTCAGTGAAAATAAAACCTACGACGCGACGTAAAGAAACATTTCGAACAAAATACAAGAAATACTTTGAGTGACCTGGTGGTAGATGTTACAAGTGATTCTGAAGACTTACATATTTGGTAATATCAACTACGAAATAAACAATCTTTCAACATATAGAATTACTGTGACATAAACACCACACTCCTTAAGTCTTTATAGTATTATACTACCTAAGATATTTTTACACTCCTCTATTTAAATAAATCATAAATCGATGTATCAAAATGTTGTACTTGATAGTAGACACAAGACCTAAACTATCTATAAACAAATTAGGCTTGGAGTTTAAATTATTCAAATACGCTCCTAAGTAACATTTAAGCTTAATACATCTAAATATTACTATATGTACTAAAAATCCTCTAAAACTATTAAATAAGATTAAACTATGTTTTATTTAAAAAAGATATTCAGTTTATATACTGTATAAAAAGTATGAAAATAAAACTCAATTTGACCTTAAAAGGTTTCTACTTGACTTATAAACGTCAATGAAAGAGATGAACAAGTTGAGATCACAATAAATGTATCGGCAATAAAACAAAGCAATTTGTAAAGCGAGCGATGGAGTACATTATGAGATAATACTGCCATTTGTGCCCCTCTACTGTAGGGCTGTTCGAGGCTCAAGTGGACTCCATTTGTTTAACTCTGCCGTACTTTAATTGCTCACCATTTGTCAATCCAACTCCAGGATCTACTCGACCGTATTTGATATAGAATGGATATTAGTGTTTATTTTTTAATACTGTTTCCTCTTTCTCATTGTGTAATAATTGTTTGTTTTATAATTGTCCTTAGGATATTCTTTATAATTGGCTTAATTTATATTGGTCAAGATGTTTTCAATGTGTTTTGAAACTTTAAGCTAATTTTCATAAATTAATTATGAAATGTGTATTTATTTACAAACCCCTTCTCAGCAAAGGATTTTTGCTAGAGCTATTATAACAATGGCTTAAACTCAGACTGTTGTAAACATTAAATCAATCGTGCCGCTCAAAGCCGTTCAGTTTTTATTGTCCTTCGGTGTAATTGTTGACAGCGCTTTACTGAATAACTGCAAAGTACATCACCCTATTTTTTGTAGTTTCCTTTAATAAATCAAACAAAACGCAAACCTTATATTAAGTGTTAATTTTCCAAATTAATATTAATAAACAAGGTAAATTCTCTTTATCCCACTCCTAGAAGTAAATTATCTGTTTATCATCTACACTGTAGTAAAATTCAGTTTCCCACATAGAAAATTTATATTGGAAATGTATAAAAGAAATATATTTGAAATATTATTTGTCAATATATATGTTATAAATATATTTTAAATGTGCAAGTTATGGGACTAGGAATATAATTCGTTATATTTAATTTGGGTTATCTATACATAACCACAGAGAATTGGCCTTTTTTGTATGTGATGTAACTTATATATTAAAAATGTGTTTAGATTACATTATGACTATAATAAAATATTTCATATATATAATAAATCAAGTTTAAGTTCTTGTTGCTTCGACTTTGGAATCGGTGCCAAGAATCACATTTATACTTATGGTGTAACTAAATTCTGCGTCAAAAATAAGTTCTAGACCAGTGGTATAGCCAGGAAAAATCTATTTTCTCCATAATGAGAATGCAAACGTATCAAAATTTAACATTTGCCTTATAGGATTCCATTCTGTTAATTTGTTTACATTTTAAGACTTTAGACAAAGAGAAACAGAACGAGTTTGCTCCTGATCATTTTTAGAGTAAATGGTTTTACGCATATGAGTTTTTACATTATAACTTTAAACATTCCAGTGTAATAACTTCTAATCCATTAAAAACTAACTTATTCTACAATCACCCTCAGCTTTAGGCTAATTACTGTTGAATTTTATACTTTTGCTAACATAACACACGATATTGGCTAAATTATTTGAATAAAAACATGTTAAACTAACTGTTTGAATAATATTATCACTGAATTACTCTTTTCGTTGGTTGTCGTCTGATTCTAATTCTGATCTTATTATAATTTCTAACAATCTGATGGAATTAACGGTCTCAGGAATCGTAGCCAACACCAATCCTTAAGAAACATTTAACCCATTTTACGTTTTAGGTTACATATTATGCAAAGTTAACATGTTCAGATAAACTATTTGCCATTCTTGCCAACCAAAAAACTCGTCTGGCTTAGTAAATTTCGGACCTCCAATAAAGACCCCCCCCCTTTCTAGAAATACTATAAAAGTAATAGGCGTCTGAGGTCTCTTAAGTCTAAGGGCTTGGTGGCTATGGTAACTTATCTGACATCAATGTGATCCTTACCATGTTATCCCTTATCAGCAAACTCATGAAATAAGTAGGCTCTTCAACGCAGTCTTACACATGTGATTTCTAGAATATACGTTTGTGTTTTTCATTTAAGTGCTTATAAAAAAAAACAAAAAAAAGTTTGCAAGCCTCTTCAAACAGTCTCGACTCTTTTATACTCGGTAATGTTTCCTAATATTAAGAGAACAAGAAATTAACTTTCATTATTTAACCAAAGCACCATCTGTTGCAAATGAAAAAAAAAATTACAACCTTAGCAAAAAAGTAATAGTTAAACCCCTTATTAATTTCACAATGCTGCTTAGTTCTTAAACCTACCCATCCAGGAGCATCTCCCCGCGGTTTTTTATCCAGTAGTTGATTGTGTTTGGGAAGGCTTCCACGTAACACTCCAGTTGTACGTCCGTTCCCAGAGGAGCTCCTAGAAGTTGGTTGGGCACCTTAATGACCGGAGCAACTGAAACGTTCAAAGAAAAATATATAACTAAACATTTAAACTAGAAAATGTTGTGTGCTATCTTATTGCAACTCATCAGAAAATCTTAAGTAAATCATTAAGTAATAAAATGTGATTTTTAAAAAAGGTTCAGGTAGATATTGACAACTAAAATCTATTTCTCACTACACTACTGTGAAATGTTTTCGTTACGTGTTTGCCACCTGGGAAAATTCATCATTATATTGCTTACTTCAAAGAAGGATGTTTGCTATGTGAAAGTAATGTTTACTATCTATTTTGGATTTTGCCGACGTAAACAAACAAAGAACAAGAACAGGCTGAAAGGCAGCCTTATTCGGGAACCATCCTGTGCAAGATATTTCCAAGTTTAAAGTGAACAAGTGCACGTGTCCCTGTGAAATGTGGGAATCATGCTGGGTACAAGCTTAAATCTTTTGAAGAGAAAAATAGTGATGGCAAAATGAAGTGTTATCTTTGCACAAATTGGGATAACAAGGCTCATATGTGTCCCTACAATAATTATAGGTGGAATTTGTGTAAAAGGGTGGGCTATCCATCAATAATAAACTATCCAGGTGATATGTGTTATATTTTCAAAGCCGTTTTATACCATATTGAATGATAGAGGCAACTCACAATTGACATTGAAGGTGACCCGCTTGCTGACCGCTGGAGGAACGTCGTTGCTGGCGATGCAGAAATAGACTCCCATCTGTCTTCGGTCTACCTTCCAGAAGGTCATCGCACTGCCATTGTACGCGTCCACTGTTACAATAAAAAACAAATCACAGATTATCCTATACAAGAAACTTCTTTTGTATGTATTTATTTAAGTATATCAAATCCAAATGAATTAAAGTAAGTACGTACATGTATTCGTATGATAGATGTTAATTTGACAGTTAAACTATTATGTAGGCTAATCCCTTGTTAACCGTGGCTTACATGCTAAAAAGGTGAGTCTATTTACAAGCATGTGTTAGAATAAGAACTATTGTAGCTTAAACTTACAAGAGTGAACAAAAAATTGTATTTAGCAAACCATTATTTTAACATTATGTTAAACTTAACCAAATGTACATCGTAATTTTTTTACTTAAATACGCGAACTTACAATGAAAGTCATAAATGGTAAAAAAAAAACATATGGATCCATCAGTGTCAATACATCTCTTAAATACATATGGACATAGAACTACTCATGAAAATCACCTTTCTATTTTGTTTATTTAAAAAACCAATGGCTTTAACAACATTGAAATCTTACTAGTATTAGAGTTTTAGATACATTTATGGCATGTATGGAAATTCAGATTCAACAGGTCATAGGCACATCGTAAAATATACAGGGTGGGGCAATGAGAACGCCACAATTTGTTTTTGCTGTCACATGTTAATTGTTGCAACAACGAATGATCAGCTGTGCTTAAAACATCAATTAAACTATGCCATTTTAGTAAATATTATGCCCGAGGCTATTAACACTGAGATTTTGATGTGCAAACCTATTTTTAAAATAGTGGTTCTTGTGCAAAAACCCAGAGATTGTTTGGACCACATTCCATCCTTGGTCAACATGGCACTGTTCCAGATTGGAAAACAATGGTGAACTGGGTAAAATTATTTAGGATAAACGCTTAAACCCTAAAAATAACCGGTGGGTGCCGCAAAACTCTTTGTACACCAGCAAATGTTGAAAGAGTGCGAGTCGCAGTAACTCAAAGTCCAAAGAGATTTGCCAGGAAGCCGTTGTTGTTGAAAGCTTTACGTTGGCTCCTTTTTTTGGAAGGGGGAGGGGGTTTCTAATAAGCTACTTGAAGTTCGAGGTTTTTCAAAGTCACCCCACAGATTTGCTTGAACCGAAGCTGAGAATTGTCCAAAAACTAAAGTGATTCCTGAAGAAATGCTGGAGGAGTATTTGATGGAGTTTTCAAGTGCCTAATGACAAGTAGGACAAGGACGTCACTTGCAGGATTTCGTTCTCAAGAAATGGAAAAATTACTTTGTTAAGTTAAAATGGCAAAAGATAAGCTTTGTTTTGATGTGCTATTTATATCCATAGGGTGAATATTATTGAGTTTGTACTGCTTATAAATTGGGGCGCTTTCATTGCCCCACCCTGTATAATCAGAACAACAATTAAGAGCCAATGCGTAGCTAAACATGATCAATAAAACCTGTTAAGTAATTGATCATATTTTTTCTTAGGACTGACTATCAATTCCTTGAAATGATGACAGTTAATTGTTGTGTTTCACCTACTTTTACATCCAAGGGCACTAGGGTCTAAACTTGGGACAGTTTTTAACTTATTTTAGGTTAGGTGGTGAGTTCACAGCATTATCACTTTTAATAAAATCCATTGTAACCGATAGGATTTGTACTCAAGACCTCAGGGACCTATGTTCAGTGGCTCCTGGTTCAGGGACCAGGCTGCTTCTGGATTATTGTGTTAGTCAATCCCGATTCAGTCCTTAACCATTTTCTACTGGGACTGTACTAGTTCATTGTCTACTAACATTTCAGTATGTCCCTTGGCCCCTTCCGTATGATGATGCCATCCTGGTCCTCTCTTCTCCAGAAGATTCTAGGAGTCGGATGTCCTGAGGCGGTGCAAATCAAAGTAGCGTTTTCTCCCTCCTGCACTGACGTGTCTGAAGACGACTCGTCATTGATTATATCTGGTGGAACTGCCAAAAAAACGTCATCAGCTGTTATTTCACAACCCATTACTTACATATAAAATTTTACAAAATGTCCCTCAAACAAACCTTGAACAGTAAAATAGTCTATGAACTGATTATTTCAGTTAATAAAATAAATTTTTTTAGTCTAATGACGTTGTTTTAGTGTCTAACATAATTAAAATTCACGAAACTTGGTTGCTTTATGAGTGACGCTCTTCAAAAAGAATATATTATAATTCCCTTTAAATAGAATAGTGTAATAAACGTCAAATCGAAACAAAAAAAAAACAATATAATTGGGATATGAAAATCAATTATCGTGTTGGAAATAAGATTGTTTTACCACATAACTAAAATATATAGTTAAGTCTTTATCATTATCTGAAAGTAGATAACATATTTATTTTTTATCTAGGGCTACTAACTTACAAACAGAATTCATTCTTGTAGCGGAATGGTATATAAAGCGAAATAAAATCCGGTACATTGTAAGAGCAAGCTCAAACATAAAATACATGTTCTTTCAAGTTGTCACTTTGAGTTAACTAACTTCCTAACCGAGTTCACTTCAAACAAAGACAGTCCCGAGACCCTTTGTTTAAGTGTTACAAATTCCACCGGAGCTATTACTCTATAACAGCGCAGCTAATCGAGGTGGTCGCAGAGGGAACGGTAATTATCACTAAAACTTAAGTGCCTTAGTCTGTGATCGTAATGGCGGGAGATGAAACAGCAGTTACCTGCGTGGAAATGTCATCCAACGTTTAACATCGCAGTAGTTACACTTGTCTTGAAATCCGTTGGAGTTAGTTGTGACTACGATAATGTATTTTAGGTTATCGATTGTATTGGAAGTACAGGTTTTCTCTCTTGTTCTTTTCGACGCCTGTGTGATTTCCAGACGAGAATAGAGAGAGTGTTATTCAAACGCTTTTTAGGATTGTAGTAAAAACCCATAAGTTTTTGGGGGTACCAGACGAACCTGCCCCTCCCGGACCGATGTCCGAGGCTAGTAACACCTTGGGTAGGTGTTTTGTAAGTAAAAGAGTATATCAAAACTTCTCAAATGTTTCGTTCAAGTTTTGGTAATTGCTCATGAAATTACTTTTAAGTTATCCATCGAAATACTTGGATAATCCTTCTTGCCGGCTATTAGCAGTAATATACAATGTTAATGTTATCGAACATGTGGGCTAAATTTGGACTTAACAATGGGATTTTAAATGTAACTTCATTGGAATAATTTAAAGTTTCTAACTAAATCAACTTGGGGAAGTAGGTAAAATAAAATAAAGATAATAAAACACTTTGGTTTGAAATCGATAGCGTAAAATAAATCACAATATCATATTATTAAGATTACATCAAGGTAAAACACAATCATACTTATTTCAACCCCAACGTGTAAAAGATAAGAGTAACTTAGCTAGATCCAGATCCAAACCATCAAAAATCAACTGAATCTTTCCAGAATCTCCTCATAATAACCTCCTCATACAAACGTTATGCAATCACAAGTACTCTGCTATATTGCAAATGGTTTGGCTTTCCATAGAATTAGTTACATTTACCAAAGTATGGACCTTTGGAAATAAGAAGTCCACGTTTCGCATAGATTTATGCAAACAACTGTAAGCTTACGCATAACAAGATTATCTATTAGTACAGACACAACTCACCCAGCACGTCTATGCAGCCGACCATCTTCTTCATAATGTTCGTGTTAACCTGACACATGTAACATCCTCTGTCAGATTCTTTGACTTGTTTGATGTGCAGTTGCCAGTTACGATGGTTGTCGTGCGTCACTGATATCCTGGAGTTGTGTGTGACGACCCTCGTATGAAGACTCAAGATGGTTTGGTCTTCTGCGCGGAGCCAGCCAACCTGACAAGGAAAATAGTGAGGAATATCAGGAAGCATCACTGGACTATTACAATTCCTTATAATGTGAGTAGATTATAACTAAGAGTACTAAGGAAGTTTGTTGAATCTAGTGATTTTTATCGTGGTTTATTACTAGAATTATTAACCGATAGTTTTTAGGTGGTTTATACAACATTTACTTTGATGGTGAAAAGTTAATACTATACGATTTAAAATTGTTTATCCTCTACCCATGTGCGTTACAGAATCAAGTTTATAAACGTTTTTCAATCCGCCAAGAAAAATAATAGGAGAGCACCTTCCTAACTTATTTTCTTGCTGTGCCTTAAATTATCGTCTCACTATTTAAATCTGTTTGTAATTTGTCGTAATAATTTGTCTATGTTTTTCATTGATGTCTATGCCAGCGACATTGAATTTTAGAGTTACAGGAAGAAGTACCCAAGCACCTTTTGGGAAATCAGTCAATCCCCAATTGTATTGTGGATGTGCTAGGAATTGAACCCATCCCTCCGACACCGGAGTCCGAGATTCTAACCACAAGGCTAAACTGTATGTTGTCTGAAGTTTCTGTTATTTTACAAATATCCTTTTGAAATAGTAGAACAAACACGACGAAAGCCAGAGCTCATAATTGGTGTTATTTCTATCTAGACTTTAAGTAAAAAATACAAATTATTTACTTTTATATGTAAATTTTCTGTTCCAAAACACGTATGCACAGTATCGTTATCCGAAATAGACTTTTACTATGCAAAACTCAGTAGTTCAAGTAATAATTCAGCATCAACTAGTTGATGTGGATTACAAATATGTCTTTATAGCCACAACCATCAAAGTGGTTTATGTTACCTCCAAAGTAATGTAAATTGACATATGATTTCACCGTATAAATTGATTGTTCACTTATAATGGATTTTTCTATATTTTCATCTTAGTGATATTTGAAGTTGGTTAGTAATTGATTAAATTTTACTCTAGTAAAATATCGTATTTTTTCTATTTAATTGTATCTTTATGTTAGGGTTTTACCTCTTAAATGCATATGATATGGTTTTCGAATGTGTTCGTTATTCATAGATTGATACGTCAGATAATACCAGTTTTTATTGTTTGTAGGTACTATGGAGTTGAATATCAAAGTTTTATCTTCAGTTTTAACTCACCCTGTATTTCCCTAGTTTGTCTATGAGACACGATAGCACCGCTTCCTTGCCTAGAGGAACTGTCAGGTTAGACATTGGACCAACAAAGTCCGGCTCTGTCAGTAAAGCTACTGGTCTCTCCTCCTTGGCCTCCCAACCTGGAAAAGTAAAAGCTTAGGTCATAAGTCATACAATTACTTGAGATTTTAAGGATAACAAACGAATGTTGACCCAGTTGATGTTAAAAGTTGGTAAGAGCGTAAACCTTGTACGTTACACCCTATGTTGATCTTTTAATCTCCTTTACCCTCCAAAAAATGTTGGCGCTACTATGTAGTTTATTAAGCAGCTTCGACGATGTAGTCCAGTTATGTTTTAGATTAAAAACAACCCAACTACTACAGCATGAAAACCATTGGTTGCTGGTGCTCACTGTAATAATGTACAGTTTGATGGCAGACATATATTTTACCCTTTATAATTTTTTAGTAAACATTTTTAGGTCTGCAGGCACAAGGAAATCTGCAAAACATTAGTTGGATCTTACAAACAATATTTTAATATTTTTTTGAAAAGCTCATCACCGTGATGACAACTCACCCATGTACCGATTATTTTGTTTGTAAAAAAATATATATATGTTTTATATATGTACCTATAGTTAAGATGGAAGTACTTTTATTTTGTTGTAGTGGTATCATTGATTGTAGATGTTCTAGCCGGAAAATTGTGCATTGAATCTGTATCAGTCAGGAAAGGGGTTGGCACATTCACAATTTTATAACTCGTGATAATGTAAGTAGATTTAATTAAATATTATTTGTGATCTTTAATGAATTCTTTTCACTTCAGAAATATATAGTATTCAAGAATCTCGATCAATATGTATTTATTTGACTATGTAAACTGTTTGAACTTTATATGTGTAACTACTTTCGTTTCGACATGAAACAATTTGTATGTTCCAACTGTAGCCTAAATCATATAAAATCTTAGTTTAGTATTTTTAGCTTAGAATTAAATCTTTTTGGTAAATTTTTCAGACGAGTTCCAGTTGTTGATGGAAATATAACCTTATTTAGCTGTGCCAATTCAGCCCCAAGTAGACTACCGCCTTAAAGTAAGATCTACCCATTTATTTATTATATTTTAGAAGAATTTTTATTTTGTTGGGAAACTATGATTTTGTTATTCTGATTATAAAGCTACATCTAAATCGATTTGGGAGTAGTTAATTATTTCCCATGACCACATGACTCTCAAACTAAAAGGCCTGGGAAACACAAGCCTTACTACAAAGCTATAATTATTATAAATTTTTTTATTCTGTAGACCAATTGGTTCATATAGGGTGTACACCCAGGTAAAACTTCAAAACTAAAATTAGTGAACTATGGAGTAATAAACGAACCTAGGGATATATAAAACTACAACTGCTTCACAACCTTAACAAATTGTGACTGAATGGCATCGCAAATTCAGATTCATGATAAGGTTTTGAGCCTGTATTGAGAACTAATCAAAACTTCGTAGAACTAACGTGTCTCGACCTACTAGCAAATAGGGAAAACCTAATAGAACTCGTGGCAAAACTAGGACACTTGGGCTACCTAATTTAACATATGTGAGGCAACCCACTAAGCTGGTTTATTGGATTTAGAATTGGTCTAAATTCAACTGCAATAGCATTTTATTTTTGATACTTTATTTTTAATGATTCTTTTAATATTTTTAATACAAAATAATGATTGATGGCCTAATATTTTACTAGATAAATCTAATAAAACGATTACATTATATTATCTTATATTAATTATAATTTAAGTGAAAAATCATACACATATCTAAAGGAAATTAATATATTACAATTTTTAAAAGTTTAAGATCATACATAGCATTTGCCATTTTAAATTAAGATAAAACTAGCTTATTCTCGAGACAAAACCCGATCGCTTTGAGAATAAAGCGAGGATTGGTCCGTCAACAACACAAGAGATGTGACAGATGAGGTGTGGATACCGTCTGACTTGTGGCAACATATTGCTCCCCCGGGCCTGCAACTGTGGCACAAAGCCTCGACACACTTGGAACAAATCGTTCCGTTTATGCTGAAATAAATATCGAAAAGCTTATAAGATAGGGATTTCTTGATAGTTGTTATATTTTTGTGGGTACCTATGATTTAAGCAATAGATTTAAATGTGCATGATTACAGCTGTGTTACTGGCTAAGAACAGTCCCTTCTTTAGCCAGTTCAATTTTAAAACCCAGTTATCAAGAAAAACTAGGTCCAGGATTACAAAAACGGTTGAATATACTTAGGACACTTAAGACCAATGCAGAATCATTTTCACAAAACGCGAGAAATTTAAGTCCAATCAATATTGAGCTGTATTAAAAATACTAATGTCTGTAAGACATGTCTAAAAAGGTTCGTGTGCAAAACATTTTTAGTAAAAAGTGCATAATAAACTCTGTACCTAATGATAAAACTTCACAAATTCTTTATTCTTCTATAAACTTTTGTTTATGGTGGAGAAGAAAAAAGGTAAATGTGAGAAATAATGAATGTTCGCAAACTATTGTACATAAAACACTACAAAAACATTTAGATTCAGCAAAGAATGATGCGATAAAACGTTTTAGATTATAGATTAACTAAGAGTCAAATCCTTTTGAAGGAAGGGTGTTGACAGAACTATCTAAGAAGCCACTCCATTACTGACTGCTCTACTCTCTACTGTTGTTGATCTTACCATTAGACCCTTTATAGACAGCTATTTAGATTGTAGTCCCTCCATTAACTGTTTATGAATGCATTGTATATAGTTACGTTGAGAGTGTTCATAGACAACCTGCTGTAGGGATATGGTTTGTATTTTTGTACAATGATTTTGATTTAAGAAAATATTTTGTATAATAGTTACTGTATGCTCAGTATATCTTATACAAATTGAATTCCAATGTTAAAATATTAACTTTTTAGATAGAAAGTGTGAATTTAACTTTTTAGAAAGTGTGCAAACATTTATTTTAAAATAATTAGTTTACCCATTCACTACTGTTTGTACTATTAAGAGGTCAAAGTTCAACGGAACGGGTACCAAAAACTTAAAGAAAAATATGGTAGTTTAATTCTATGAAAGCATCATTAACTCTAACCTTGAACATATCTCTCGGTTGAAAATATCTGACTCAATTTCGTTTATATAGTTGGGAATACCTTTAAGTATCCAAAGTCTTGAATATAAATATATACAATTTTAATTGATTTAATCATGAAATTTGTATCCCCAAACAAATAAATTGTGTTCTGTATTCAAACAAAACATAGGATTTAAAGTAATAATTTTACTTATTTTTCTTCTTAACAATTTTTAAATTATATATTACTGTATACTACTGTTTTAAATACAAACTATACCGATCCCCTCTTATTAATACATACTACTTTATTGTTGGGTAGCCGAGTGGTACCTAAGGGATGTTCACCCTCAAATCTGAAGGTCACTGGTTTGGTTCCAAACGAGATGGTTTTTAGATCCAGATGGCATTTTTTGTCATTGAAATAATTGCTAACTAGTAAATGGTCGACACTAGATTGTAATAAGACCGTAGTTTGGATCGTTCTCTTAGAAAAAACAAAAAATAATTAAGGTGTAGATAGACAGATAAAAATTGAGTAAGAACTAATTTTAATAATAATAAATTCCGTAACTAAGTTTATAAAGAAATGTAGGTCGATTTGTATTCAAGAATGCAGCTTGCAGATAGAGATGTTAAAATGCGTTCAAACAGATTTAATCAGCTAAAAGATTTCCCCTGTTGCCACTAAAAGTTAACGCTGGCTTACTCTATGAATAATAATGCGCAATATACACTGCTTGCAGACTTGGCTACGTAATGAAATTTCCGAGGCAGGAATCGCTGTTGTGATAAACTCAAGCTAAATAGAGAGATTATCTAAACTAGGAAGACGCTTACTCGTAGACCTGCAACCGCGTTTTGTGGTTTAACGTTAACACAAGTATAACACGTTCCTTGCATATTTGAATGGATGAAAATGCATATTTAAATAAGTGGACTAAAATAAAATGAATATTTTTTCCTAATATTTAAAGAAACAAATAGTCGGTTTTTGTGATAATGTTAAATCAAGAAGAGACAGTTTTTTTTTCATTTTATAGTTTGTCGTGTTCACTTGAAGCCGAGTGATTTTTAGGTTTACCTTTCAGTTTATTGTGTTGGTAAGAGGATTAGCAGGTTTTACATACAATATATACATGGACACATAGATGGAATTGTTCTCTAATGTATTGAAACAGTTGATTAGTAGATATAAAAATAAATAATCGATAAACCTATACGACGTTTAACCGTTTTAAATTTTATGGCTAAAATTACTGTCTTTAAACTAATTATTTACTTTTAAAACTTAATTTTACTGACGAGTCATAAGGTCAACTTTTCATTTTGAATATGTTCTTATGATATGTTATAATACGAAAAAGAAATTATATTATAAAATATTATTATACCAAATATGACAATTGTTATTACAATAGCACTTGCAGTTTTGCAACAAAAATTTTGTATATTAACCAATGTTGGTATTAGAATTATTATATTCATACCATAAACCGTGCAACGTAAGATTAATTAATATTCACGCGTACCAATATACCATAGACCTACAATATTCAAGGAATTACATTAGTAATCAGCAATTAATGTTGCAAGCGGTGTTGTCAGGTTTGGTATAGACCTACACTCCGAGACTTACATGGTGAAGCTCGTAAGGTTCAAAGTTGGAGACAAACTAGATATAAATGTTCAATTAATATGCAGACACACGTCTTGCTCACGGCTACCAACCTAACACACTCGGGCAAACCTCGTTATGAACCTGTATAACCAGGGTTGCGACGTTGGTATCAGTGCTAGATATGAATTACTGTATACAAGTAGAATTATGCATGGCAACTCTTCCGAAATTTTATCGGCAGTTTTACGTAAAGTTATTTCCAATAAAATAAGAAACGATTGGAACTACACAAATCAATATTCAACATTATTACGTGTATACAAAATTAGCTTTGGAAATAAAATAGTTCGCAATTGAAATAAAGGTATGCCATGTGCAGGTTTACGTTGACAA